GGCGAGTTTCGCCACTAAATGAAATCACTCTTGGTGCCAGAAACAGTAGCAAAAATTAGCCAAAGCCCATCTACCACACCTCAACCACGCACGCGAATCCAAGTATGCGTCTCCAAATACTCCAACGCTTAAACGGCTTGCTTGTAGACATCTTCAAAGAAGTGGATATTCTCGATGTCAGCGAATGCGATGAACTCTAGAGTCACACGCCTGGCGTACTTTCTGCATCAAACAGCAGGTCACAACTCAAACATGCAGACCACGAATCAAAACGGGGGACCACAAAGGCTGCGATCCTTCGCACAAGAAATGGCTTCAACGAAACTAGGACACAAACCCTAAACCACTACAAATGTGCAGTAATCCCAATTTTCCCATGTGAGTGCACCCTCGCAACACGGTCCTTTTGAAATCCGCGGGCTTAGCTATAAAGGCGAGCAACCAGGGAAGCACAATATGACTAGAGTTTCTACCTCCAGCAAAAATAAAACGATATTCCATCTTGCTGCAAACCACAACGACCAGCCATAAAACATACTCCCTGTGCGAGACGCTTGCTGAGCTAAGCAATTGCAACTAGTTTTCGCCACCATAACAGCTCAGGAAAAAGCAAAACCGTGATCGCACGTCCTCTAAAATATACCGTAGCCATAGAGAAATGTTCGAATGCCACCAGGCACAGCAAAAGACATTTCCAGCATTGGGTGGGAAGAACTCGAAACGGCAAAACGACGACGCGCCGACCTTTCATCCCCGCATCCAGCTCAAAACACCACCAGTGACAACAATAACTGCTCAGGATGAGAGTACAGCTAGCTCTCCCACAGCCAGCAAGATCAACCGCTTCGCGCGAGTGTTCATAAATGTGCCAACGCACGTACTGTTCCCGGCACTACCTGAATGGTCCCATGCTCGTTTGATTTAGGAGATTTACTCCGACATCCAAGCCATATTGCAATGATCCGTTCAGTTCATGCGTATTCAGTGGTGCCGCTAGCCCCTTGTTGTCGTACTGCTGCTTTAATTGCCAGTCTCCTTCGTCACGTCTGCGACAACGCAAACCTGCCTTCTACGCCAAGAAGAACCGCACACTAGACACACGCAGTCTACCACGACCGTCCAATCAATCCAAGCGTTGACACTGTTTGCAAACGGCAAAATACAATACTTGAGTAGGCCTGCCTATTTACAAAACGAGACTTCGATGTGCAGTTCCGCAAGTGAAGGCGTCTCACTAATTACGAACTCGGGCTACGCCACAAGTCAACGCAGTCGAGGAACTAACTAGCTGCACAGTGGCCATAAAACAATCACATCCATCTCGTTATCACTGCAATTCAATACTCTGCGGCGAAGCGCATGCAATCACTAGCAGCACGTAAGAGCATCAATCGATACAAACGGGGTTGCACAATGCGCCTGTCCAAAACCCTTGCCCGTCTCTACACTGTGCCAGCGACAAAGAAACACAACAATCTATTTGCTTCACCAGAGTTGACACAAGAATTGACATAATAACACACCGAAGGCGCTACTGCTCACTGCAAACCGGACCTCGCCACCTACCCCCTAGAGAGACACGACCGGCGTTATTTCCATGGAGGTTCGCCACCGACCCCTGCGCAATCTCCTCAGGCTGTCCCGAGCACAAATATGCCTTCGTGCGAATCTTCGAAACTCGTCCGATTCACTCGTGCACACCGACACACGAGGAATGGCTGCACAGCACCAAGGTTGCGAAGAGTTGTACCGGCGCAAACAAGTACCCTCAGAATGAGTACAATAAGCAGGATCATAGCAGAAATAGCCATGCCTTCAGTGCCATGGCATTCCTCTCTAAAGGCCGTTTTGCGGACCCTGCAACTGTAGTGACGAACCGATGTTAAATGGACGGCCTGCAAGCACATACGGAGGATAATCCCAGGGGATATACCTGCGAATTAGGTTGTGCATCGGGCAGCCTGATTGGCAGGTATATCTACCAAAGTACCCAACCTTCTCTCTTATATGGATTACCCAACCTTCTCTCTTATATGGATACGATGCCAACGAACACTGTCAAACCCGTGTACTGGCGCACTAAGCAATTTTGTAACCTCAATACTCGCGTTTGGTCAGCAAAAGGTACCTTTACACTGCACCGTCAGAAAAGCAGCAAGGCAAGTACGCTAGCTGCGTGACTCAGCATACTACTTTTTACCCCTAAACACCACGACACCAGAAACGCCTCCAGCTGTACAATATCTTTACGAACCTAAACAGCAGCAATAGCCAACTCAAATGGCCAACGATCAGCAAGGTTGGTGTACACATATATGCAGCGCACCACAACCTCCCCTTCCCACGCCAAAAAGCGCTAACCCCAATGACACACTGGTTCATTTGAACATAGAACGCAACCCATTCAATCTGTAGTGCGCATTCTCTCTCGATTGTTGCTCTACTCCAACTGACTTCACCCATGCTTCCCCTCAACAAACGCAGAATATCCAATTCAGCATCGACGCCATCACACCAACCTCTACAGACAAACTGCTCGACAGCCAATCCAATGCCACCCGCGCAACCAGTGTCGACATTTAGCATGCCTCGATCCCCCCAAATCGCCCTGCCATAACCCGCCAATAGGGGTAAACCACACACAAACCATCGCATTGGAGGCGACAATATAAAACTACAGTTGCCATACAGCGTCTGCGTGAATATCTAGAAACTCGAAAATCGAACAATGGAAATACATATTGCGACTCGACGTACATACTACAGAAACATCCATAGATGCTGCGTCTCCATCAATACAATCAATTACCAATGTAGACAAACGCTGGTACGCATTATCTGACGGAAGCACGGCTTTCTATTTGCAATTTAAACTGTCATCTAAAATATATTTCAGACATACTACGGCTGCACATTCTCGCCAAGCACCTATCGGCCTCCAACACGCTTTGTGGACAGAGGCTAGCGATAAGAGCCCGGACTAAAACTTCGAGCGAATACCTGGGTAATACTAACACAGCCACCTGACGTGACTATTTGTATTCTATACCGCAAAATGTGCGATTACACTACAAGAAGGCCTCTAGGCGTGCAGCCTCACTGCGAGCGAACCTAAGTAGCCGCAATAGAGAACTCGAAACAGCCGCAATCAGCAAAGTAGGTGCACACATATATGCAGCCCATGAGAGCCTCCTGCCACGTCTATGAATAACCCCAATGACACACTGGTGCATTTGGACGCAGCACGCAACCCCTTTATTCTGTAATCCACATTCTCTGTGGGCGATTTCTCCGCCTTAACTGACTTCACCCCTTTGCCCCTCCTTCAATAACCCTCAATAAACGCAGGATGACAAATTTAACCTCAACTTCAACACATCCACCTCTATAAAAACACTGGTCGCAATTAGTCAAATGCCACCCTCCCAACAACTAGTTTTCATATTTGGCTTGTCTGCGTTTCCAAAGACGCACACGCTTCAGCGAACAAGATGACCAAATCGACCATAATCCATGGCATTGAGAATAATATGAAGATTTCACGACTACTGACGCCGAACATCAGACACACAAGTGCCCAGCACACGCAAAGCATGATCCCCTAAACCCTCACAAGCTGAGCACGTCAGGTCATTCATTTCGACATTCTCTATCCACAGCAAGTTACAACCTAAACCCATCCCATCAAAGTCTACGGACACAGCGTCATCCAGCACCGAACGTTCTACTCCAAGTCCTTCTTGACCCACGCTAGTAACTCATCCAGACCACGAACACAACTACGGGCGGCAACACATATCCAAGGACAACTTCCACAAACAAAGCAACTCTTCTACATTGGGAAGAAGCTAACGCAGCGTTTCAACATCAAAGCCCACTTCCTGTTCGATGCGCTCAGCAATGCACATGTAGCACCGAAGAGAAGCATCGAAAGAAGACACCTGTGGCGCTTAGCTCCCCTAAGCTGCAACCGTTTGCAACTATCACAAAAACGTCTCCAACACAACCTTGAACATAACTACCAAACAAACACTAGGGATAGCACAACTGTCGTGGGAGTCACAACCCTAAGCGCAGCAGCGCACAGGCACGAAGGCAAGCTGCGCAATTGTATCTTGAAACCCATCGCCGCGTGCATTCAACGCACAGCTAGAAGTAGTACACAACATTCGACGTCAACGTATGCTCGCGGTGTGAATGCCCCTGAGCTAGATCGCAAACACCAGTGCTGTGCTTAAAACACATTTAAGTGCACTTTTCCCACGCCGAACGAAACCTTTGCACTGTACTGGCTATTGCGCAGCTGTCGAGTACCAAAGCCCACCTCCTGTCCGATGTATTAAACAACGCATATCTCGTGTCGATAAGAAACCACAAACATATGAGCTGCTTCGTATTTATTCGCATGCGCTACAACCTTCTGCAAGCTCCACATAACAGATCCAGCATTTTGCCATACATTCAAGGGATCAACAACTGCTCGCTAGCGCACCTCGGGCTGTGGGGTTGGCAATTTTGGAAAGAGCAGACACAGCAAAATAGGCACGTTCTGCAGCTCATGGGCACTTTACATCCCTCCACAACGCGGCGTCAGAAGCGAGTTTAGAAATTCCGCGTGACTAAAATTCCAACAACCAACTTGAATGCACTCCTGAGGAACATTAGCCTCACACTAGGCTGCACTACAATACTCAAACCCCTCAAACGGTATTGTCGTGTTCCAGGATGTCGTCAGCCGAGTCCAAGCATGCCGCTTGCCGCCTCGGGCAAGCAGGCGCAAGCCACAAAAAAACCGCACAACCTGAATAGATCAGCAGGACTCTGATTATGCCAATCCAACGCACTCCAACGCACTTCACGAACATTCACTCACCAAACAGGTGACCCCCCCAGCAAGCCTCAACTGCAAGTCAGACAAAATACACACGACACTGCCGGCTAACGTCTTATATCTGGCTAACGAATCAATCTGAAATCACGCCTATAGACGCCTAGCATCTCCCACACTACGGAATTACAAGTACAGAAACAGCAAAAGTAAGGCCGGGATCAAAATTCAGACATCTGCTAAGAAAGGATTGGCAACTGCGCAGTTGCCCATACATAGTGCGTCACGAAGACGAGTTCACCAAATACTTAGGAAAACGAATCTACAGAGAGAACTAGCGGAGGTGAAATATAACCATCAACCGCGACAACATCTGCAACTCGTACACCCTCTACTCGTCTTCCGAACTGATGCCCACTCTTACCCGGTGAATGTCAGATGCTGGTCTGCAAATGAGTTTCTGCTTGCGCCATGACATCAGCACGCACTCAGCAACAGGTTCGCGTCGGCTGTTTTTGAAATGCTTCCAGCATATCAACGAAAATAACTGACAACGGCGAAGACTCGCTGGGGTCTCTCGGCGGGTCGCCGCAGAATCGTGTCAAACCAAACCAAGCACTTAATACCTATGGCTACAAAGGAGCTGCTGAATTGGCAACATTGCTCTGAATGAAGCCCACGCACACTACGCAACAGTCTGATAGCCTCCACGAAACAAGTTGATCTTCCTCTAACGAGACCGGCCTTGCAGTAACAGCACACAAAAGCATGCTCAAACTGTTGTCAGCTTCTCGCTTCCCGTGCTTAGTTCCAGCAGACGTTTGCAAACATACACAAAGCAACTAAAACTGCATCAGCTGCTACACTACCTTGCTAGTTCGTTGTGCAGTTGACCGTAGGGCTTTGGCGACGCCTTCAGGCAG